ATGCCTGTGCAAGGCCTGTGGCTAGAGCACTAGAGTGGCCTGGGATGGGGAAGCCTGGGCCTGAGGGCAAGTTGGCTGTCTGGAGGGGGTTGTCCTTGGAAAACAGGCTCTGAATGAGCTGCAATTTTTCCTTCTCTTCCTGTAGGAACACGTCAACCAAGAGCTTCTTTTCCCGTTTGAGCTGCTCCATGATAGTTCTGGGGACGTCGGGGATGACCCATTCAACCAACAGGCTAAGAAACATCACCAGGTTCTGGACGAGGGAGACAAGAAGAGAGATAGATGTATATGAAGGTGGTACAAAATATGTTTCAAGGATTCCTTATAATCCTTGATTATAAGGAATGATGGATCTAGAACAGATTCTGTATATACACAGGTTTTCAATGCAAATGTAGATGAACTGCACTGTACATAAACTATGTCAATGGGAAATTATAATCACTAATAATGTTAAAAAAATTATAGCACAACATGAGCTACAGTATAACTTGACCATTGTTTGTAGGTTACATTTATTTATCTTTTGGCAAATTGCCATTATTAAAAGTATTGTACCATTTGCTGGTTGAACAAGGGTCTGGAGACCAGGACTTGTATTTTTCCTGTTTTATTTCTACACACACAAAATGCAACCACACAGTAACAGAACACTCTCTCAGAACAACCATGGCAAAAATCCCCCAAACTATATACACACCACCCCAGGCATTATGGAACATCCCGTTAAGTCTCTCTCTGCTATCCCAGTGCCACACAGCCCCCACCTGATTGGTTACTGTCCCTGGTAACCCATAAAGTCATAACAAAGTCTTGCAGGCACTGGGGGGCTTGTGCTAGAGTAACCCTGGTTGCTTCCGGTGGGCGAAGAGGGGTCTGGGGCCCCCCCTCAGGCAAAGCCAAGGGCTGGTGTGGTGCGATTGGAGCACCAGACTGTACACCCACACCAGTGCACCCGGGACAAAGTCCTCTCCCTTGCAGCAGACATCATAGACCCACTTCTGGTGAACCTCCACTTCCATTAGGGCCTGTCGGGTCAGTTCATAAACCTCCTTGAGTCAATCCCAAAGGTGGTAACCATAGTAAAAACACAACCTACCTGGCCAGTCAGGCTCTGGACACCAAGTCCACCAGAGTATGGAGCTCATGCCCAAACATGAGTGGAGGCAGGGGTGCACTTGGAACACTCCTGGACAGTAGTCCGGTATGCCCACAGGACCAGAGGCAGGTACAGTTCCCAGCTCCGCTGCCGGCAGCTGGTCGGGATTGTGAACTGGGTGGCCAGCGTGTGGTTGAACTGCTCCACCACCAGTGACTCTGGGGGTGCAATGGCATAGTCTGAGTCTTTCTTACGCCTAGCAGCCGACAGACTTTGCCAAACACCTCAGCCTCAAAGTTCCACCCCTGGTCACTGTGCAGCTCCTTGAGCACACCAAATCATAGAACATCTCGTTGACTAGGCATTCTGCAGTCATGGTGGTGTTCTAGTCACGGAGGTGTTATAGCAGTCCCATGTGTAGCTCTATGTCCTAGTGACAACCCAGTCTGAAGAAGCGGGACCACAGCCAGTGTAAAGTCTTTCTGATGCCAAAGTGGCCTGCCTCCATCAAGCCATGGACCAACTGGGGGACTTCCTGACAGAGCTGATGAGGCACCAGGAGCAGCAGGATATCATAGTGGGGTGTGGGGTCCCACCAGCAGAAATAGAAGAAACCATGCTGGGTGACTAGGCTGGGCCACTGGGAGTAGAGGGGTTTAGTCTCTGTGTCCAAAGCAGAAAATGCCATACATGCTGGCCGCTGGCCGGCCCCCTCCAAAACCTGGTCAAGGTTGAGGACAGGGTCCTGGCTCTGGTGGCACTGAAGCTGCTGGAGGTCACCAAGGCTCCAGTCATCATCAGCACAACATGCTCTCTCCCTCTTGGGACAGCACAACCCCAGTGCCTGTGCTGCTGGCATCAGTGTCCAGACTAAAAGGCGACTGGAGGTCTGGGTAGACAAGCACAGGGGCCTCGATGAGTGCTGTCCAGAGCTGCGAAAAAGCAGTGGTGCAGTTCTCTCCCCAATGGAACACATGGCCATTCTGTGTCAGCCAGTGGAGTGGGCTGGCAATGCCAGCAAAACCCCAGACAAACCATCAGTTGAAGGAAGCTAGCCCCAGGAAGCTCCACAGATCCCTGACATTGTGAGGAACAGGCCAGTCCTTCACTGCTGCTACCTTGGCTGGGTCAGTGGCTACTTCCACTGTGCTGATGACATGGCCCAGGAAGGATGTCTCGTGCTGAAGTAGGCAGAATTTCTTGAAGTGCAGTCATAGCCCAGCCATAGAAGACGTCCCTCAGGTTGGCCAGGGTGACCTCAAAGTCCGCAGTGCAGATGAGAAGGTCATCCAAGTAGACCACACACTGGCTCTGGGAGATATCAGCCAGGACCTGCTCCATGAGGCATTCAAAGGTGGCTGGGGCATTGCAGAGGCCAAAATGTATTACCTTGAACTGCAACAGTCACTGGCCAATGGAGAAGACAGTCTTGGACCATGCTTCTGGCATTAACTCTACCTGCCAGTAGTCACTGTGCAGATTGAGGGAGCTAAACCAGCAGGACCTAGCGATGTTGTCCAGGGGGTCATTGATGCATGATAGTAGGTATGAGTCCTTGCCAGTGACCTCATTAACTTTGCGGTAGTTGACACAGGGCCTCCAACCAGTCTTTCTTCTGGACCATAACAGCTGCTCCCCAAGGGCTGCTGGATGGCTCAATGATGCCCACCCCCAGCATCTCTTTAATCATCAGTTCTGCTGCAGCTTGCTTGGCGAGTGGGAGGTACCATGGGTGGAGGAAGACAGGGTGCCTGTTGCCAGTGTCAATGTTGTGCTGCACCAGGTTAGGATGCATACAGTCCTCATCTCTGGCCACAATGATTTCCACAAACACCTTCAGCTGCTCTCTCAGTGGATGTCTCTGGTCTGCCTCCAACTCTTTGCAGCTCCTCTCGAACAGGTCCTTAACAGCTTGTTTGATTTTGCCAGACACCTCCCCGGTTGGTGGTGATGTTGCTGGCCCACCTGGCTGGTTGCTTTGGCCCCCGATTAATTGACCCTCAGCTGGTGGTGTGGACCCCTTGGCTGGAGGAAACATAGGCCCCTCTGTCTGGTGGTGATGTGGGCCCCTCAGCTGTTGGCAGTGACCCCTTGGCAGGTCCACAGCTGGCGGTGATGGCCGCTCAGCTGGTGGTGTGAGCCCCTTGGCTGGTGCAGCAGTTCCCCACATACCTTCCCTTATGGTGTGGTGAAGTGCGGGGGCGGTCTGGCAGGCTGCCTCCTCCTCCTCACTGGTCCCCTCAAGTTCCATCTGCCTCACCCAGTGTTTCAGCCTGGAGGAACACAGCATGTGCTTGACTCACTGTGCCTTGGCCAGGGCTGCAGTCAGGGTGGTGCATAGACACGGATGTGCTCTTGGAGCTGCTCCAGCCAGAGCCCTTGGATGAAACGCTGGAGAGTAAACTTTTCCCACACGGTATCGTCAAACATCGGCTACCCACACCATGTGTAGAGGTGCAGGTCAGTGGCATAGGTGCTCAGTGTCTGTGTCTCTCTGCAACAGTGGCTGCTCAGCTTGTCCCAGGTGTAGTCAGCTGGGACCCACTGGCCAAACCAGTGCTGCAACACTCTCTCTATGGCTGGCCAGTCGAACCGTTCCCTAGGCTGGAGGTCAGTGAGGGTCTGCAGTGTCTTACCTTCCAGGGTGAGGGCAACATTGATAGCCGCCTCTCTTGTGGCTTGTCCCCATTGTATCAAGGGTGGGTTTGTTGGGTTTTCCTTACTTTTAAGCATTCTGATTGACACTAGCATCTGCTCATAAACAAAATTAAAAATGCAATGAGCTCATACCTGGAACAGTATGACAAAAGCCAATCTTGAAGCGAGGACACACCAGTACTGTTTGGTGAGCTGGTATGGTTCTGGAGACCAGGGGGGTTCCCTGTAGTCTTTGTACCTGGAACAAAACAACATTCATATATTATGGATGCTAAAAAAGAAGTAATTCAAATTTATTTTTATATTGTTTCATGCCTGGTGTGTTCAAAAAAATCTAAATGGGCATTGTTTGGAATCACTCACAAGTCCGTAAAGAGGTAGTTAGCATGAGCAGTAAGATGGTTAAACATAATCAACATATACATGAAGGAGTATGATCACAGGGAAGTGCAGCATCTCAGCTCTTCAATTTCTGTGATCAAATCTGATTTATCTTGACCTGGATGAGGCCTTGCCCTATTAAAATATACTGTATTACTCTGCCACTCAGTGTGGGACCCGACCCAAAGTGTTATAAACTTTATTAGGAAATCTTAACATGTTTTTTTTGCAATAAATTATTTATAGTGCTGGTAAAAACAAAACAAAACAAACCTAAAAACAGCAGAAAACCTGAACCACATGTAGAGCTAAAGGTCCACATTTAAAATGACAACAGAGAGCAACAATGAAAGAAACAAAGGCAGAAGAATAAAAGGAAAGATTTAAGCTTAAGAGAGGAAGCAGAAAGAAACTGAAAAAACAAATGTGAAATGATAAGACAAAAGCGAGGAAGATATTTTGTGGCAAACAGGCAGACCTTTCAGATAAAACACAACTGCACAAAAATGTATTTGACTTGGCAGACTGAGGATGTGGTCTCATCTGGTACAACACAAGCATACACACACATGCATGCCCACGAATAGCATGAAGCAGCAGCTATTTGTAACCAAGCCAGCTGCGTGAACAGCTCTTGTGTTTAGGACATTCAGGACTCTTTATTAAGTGCACAGACTACAGGTTTGGTGCTGGTGGTGCATCAATAGAGATCATGTAGCAACCTGTGGCAGTACTACAGGGTCTCAACTTATGTTCCACTTTAAGATTTATGTATTTTGTTGCAGTCATGCGCATATAGAAGTATAAAAGAACAGTCAAAAAGCATCTGAATACTTCTTCCACCACTGGTTCTAAATGTATCTTAAATGGACCCCAAGGTAACTGTGATTACCAGTAGTCTCTGGTAAGCGCAACCTTGTTTGTATGTCCTAACGCCTCCTCCATTTTAGTTTTCTCATCTTCATACAAATTGTGTATATTGGCTACAGAGGTGGCTCTTATGCAAATAATTTCAACCTGACCCTTGCTCTTCACAATGTTAATTGGCCTGCAAGCTGTAGCCACCCATTTAGCTATCCCTGCTGAAAGTTTGTTGCTTGTAGAGTTGTCCAGGTGTCTCTGTTGCAAACTATCCAGTGTAGTCTGCTTTTGATGAGGGTGAGGAAGGCTCTCTCCATCAGCTGTGTGCTTGGCCAGCTAGTGTTATTTGAGACTTGATGTACTCTAGTGGTAATTCAATTCACATCGACAGTAAATGTAAATAACTTTGGTCTTTTTGAGAGAACCATCTAGCAGGGCTTTGAAGCTAAACTTGCCATTCAAAAGACATTTCTGCTCCATTTTGGCTAATTAGCACCTGCCCACAGTGCCAAAACTACCAAATAACTGCTATGCTGACCATAATATTACTATGCTTGTTTAGCCAGCCAAGTCGCCTGATCTGAATTCCATAAAGCAGGGTTTTTCAAATGATTGTGAGCCAGAGACCATTACTGTGACTAAAAAGCAATGTGAGGACCACTTTTGTGTGGTGGATAGACCAGAAGGGTACTATTTTAATTCTGAAAGAGACCTGAGCTTTTCTAAATATTATACTGTATATTTGCATACATTTGATTATTCAAACAATAAGTAAGACATAGAAATGTGTTACTTTATGGAAATTGCTTCCCACAGTAAAACTACATTATTGAATGCATAGTCAAGGACCACCTGCAATGTCTTCATGGACTACTAAAAACATCGTGGCGTGTATGCACGCAGTGGCTCCGGGCTCTCAGCTTTTTGTTTTTTGTACTTTTGTTTGTGTTTTTATTGTCACCACAGTTTTCTGAAGACACCATCCAGTATGGAAGAGCTGAACTACTTATTATTGGGAAGCAATACAAACTTTATGCATCCACGAAGCTGAACTTTATTCCACCAGTGCCTGTGCGCTAGGCTACATGCTAACCCACACAGGCTGGCACTCCTTAGTCTCTTCCTCACAAACGCCAGGTCACTAACCAACAAAATAGACGAGGTTCGGCTGCGGATTGTCTGACGGAGGATGGACAGCTGTGTGGTGATTATAACTGAAACCTGGTTGGATGACAACATTGCGGATGCTGCGGTGGAGCTGGAGGGATGCTCTTTGTTTTGAGCAGACAGGACTGTAGCATCTGCTAAATCGAGAGATGGTGGAGGTCTGGCGCTGTACATCCACAACTTCTGGTGCACAGCTATGAGCATCATTGAAACACACTGCTCCCCCGACTTGGAATATCTGGCAGTGAAATGCAGACCTTTTAAAATGGTGAAAGGGTTTTGCTCAATCCTGATTGTAGGCGCCTATGTACCAGTGCGAGCTAACGCTAAGCTAGTGCTGGAGGAGCTGTACCGCCTGATCAGCAGTCAAATGAATAAAAACACAGAAGCAGCTGTGATTGTAGCTGGAGACTTTAGTTGTGTGGAACTTAAAGCAGTGTTTCCCAAATTCTACAGATTTATCAATTTTCCAACCAGGGACAATAATATCCTGGATCAAGTTTATTACAACATCCCAGGAGCATACAAGTCCATAGCTGGTCCACACTTGCGCCTGTCAGATCACATCTCTGTGGAGCTGATTCCAGCATATAAACTTCTGATCTGCAGGACAAAACCAATCACCAAAACAGTTAAGGTGTGGATGGAGGAGGCTTCTTCAGCATTATAGGACTGTTTTGAGCATACTAATTGGGGGGTGTTCAAAGAGGGCTCAGACTTGGAGGCTTATACATCAGCTGTTCTGGACTATGTGCAGTTCTGTACTGATGCTGTCCTACCTACAAAGTCCATCAGGGTTTTTCCAAACCAGAAACCATGGCTGGACAGTACAGTGTCACCTCTGCTCAAAGCTCGGGATGCTGCCTTTAGATCAGGTGACAGGCTGGCCTATAGCAGGGCCCGGAAAGAACTAAAGAAGGGCATCCAGCTGGCCAAACACAGGTACAAACAGCGCATTGAGGAGCACTTTATGAATAACAACACACAGAGTATGTGGAGAGGCATCAAAGCAATAACAGACTACAGAGGCAACAATCAGCAGGTCAGCCATGATCCCACTCTCCCTGACACTCTGAATAGTTTCTTTGCATGCTTTGATACACCTGGCAGCAGAGGAACTGTACATCTCCCTCAGCTCGAGGAACAGCACCGGCCTCTTGTCTTGCAGCTACACCAGGTGAGTTTCACCCTGAGGAGGATCAACACCAACAAAGCCGCAGGACCAGACACGGTGCCAGGCCAGGTTTTGAAGCTATGTGCTGACCAACTGGCAGGGGTTTTCCTGGACATTTTTAAGCTGTCGCTATTGGGTTTATCCATCACACATGCACAGTTCTGAAGACATTTCTTTCACGCCCTGTGCCCTGCACTGGGCTGATCCCACTCAGGTCAGCTGTGTGTATAAAAGCCTGTGTGACCTGAGCTCTTCTCCCTATGCCAGCGCTTTTTCTTCAGCTGGCGGATTTAGAATTAGCGGGGTTGCAAGCTTAGAGGGCTATGCCTATACTCATAGAGGCTTGGGTTACTGTATGTAACCATCATTCTATTTTGTATAGGCTTTGTATAGGATAATAGCACGGCAGGATGCAGTCAGTGAGCCCCATGGGCTCACTGCCGCCCAAGAGCATTATAAACAACATCACAGCCCGTCGTCATATCTCGCAATAGCAGCCCAAGTACAACACCCCCTCTCCCACAACAGGCCTTGTCTGATAAGCATGCACAATCACACCCCATATAGAACCTGACTGCCACTGTAAGAGGTAGGGATGGCCGTTATGTTTATCAGATGAGAATAAGTGCAGGGAAGGGTGCCCAGTGAACATGTACGGCTGCTCTCTGCCCAATCCTCTCAGGAAGCGTTTTGCCAGTGGGTGCGCAAACACAGATCTCTCACCGTCATGACAGGACAAAATGTCTGGAGTGTAGGCTTTCACAGTAGACAGAACCAGGTTTTTGTCTACCAGGGTCTGCAAGAAAACCAGCACCTGGGCCAGTGGGCATGACGTGGGGGCTGTGCCTCTCTCCATGCACCACCGCTGAAAAGCAGACCATTTTGCCACATAAGAAGCCGTCGTTGATGGGGCTCTTGCATTCTGAATCATATGCACAACCGCTGGAAGAAGGCCTATGCTCTCCAGTCACTCCTGTTCAGGGGTAAAGCCTGCAGGCGCGTCCCTATCATGCCATAGTGTTGAATCATGCCGTCCAGCAGGGAGAGCATGTCCCTGTGCCATGGGAGCTGCCATGGCTCACCCGACAGTAGCTGCACCAGTGTTGGAAACCATGCTGCGCCCATGCACTCTGGGGCTATCAGGATGATGAGCAACTGTTCGTCCTGTGCATGTGAGTAGAGGCGCGGGATCAGTAGGACAGGAGGGAAGGCATAAAGGAGACCTCTGGGCCAGGGGTGATGAGTGAAGACGTTGACCCCTAGCAGAGGCTTGTCTCGGGCACTCATCAAGAACCAAGCACTGCATGTTCTTGCAAATTGCAAACAAGTCCACCACTGCACAGCTGCACCTGTCCCACAGTGCTTGTATGAGGGACTGACTCAGTTTACACTCGCTTGGCTGAGGCCCGCCTCATGACATTAAATCCACGGCACAGTTCTGCTCGCCCAGAGTGTGCACGGCTCTGATAGAGTGCAGGCTCCATTGAGCCCAGAGTAGGAGACTCCGTGCTATTTCCACCAAGCAGGCAGAGTGAACACCACTGTATCGGTTGATGTATGCGATGGCTGTTGTGTTGTCTGACCACACCAGGCTCAGTGCAAAATGCTTCAGCACCTTCAGCACCGTGGGCCAGCTCCAGACAGCTTATATGAGG